TATATATGTCGCTGTTAGATGTAACTTTTCCTTTTTGTAGTTTTTGTTTTGTTTGTTTTGTCTCTTATGGGATTGATTGTTTTGTTTATGTCTTGCTCTGATCATGGATGTAGCTGTTCTTTTCTTTTTTCCTCTGTCTTTGCTTGTTCGTCTGTTTATTTATTTATTTTTTATTTTTCTTATGTATTTTCCTTGTCTTTTTGTTCTTTATTTTTGTTTGTTTGTTTATTTGTTTTGTTTGTCTGTCTTTTCCCCTGATAGATTTTTTAAATTATTTTTTTGAATTATTTTTTTATTTTTATTTGCTTTCCTTTTGTTGTTTCTATCTTTCCATCTCCCTTTTTCCTCACTCTTGATTACCGTTATTTGTTGTTGTGCTTCTTTTCACCCAAATAAACGAACAAAAACCAGCGTCCGTGTTGTAGCGTTTAGATGCTTCGCTGTCACTTGTAAGAGGCCCAAGTTCGATTCCCGAATGGGGAGAAGTGTTCATATGGTGTCACGGTCTTTCTGCTGAGATGTTGTATCCTTCTCAGCCTGGGTTGGCCCTGATAAGTAGGGTCGAAAGCTCACCTCCTAGATAATCTAAATTGTGTCGATGGGGATATAAAAAAGACTAACATTTAAATTTGAATTGAACGCTATAGCATTTCCCTGTAGTACAGTTTAAGGTTCCAAGAAAAAACAAAACAGGTGATGTCCAAAACCAAAGTCATTTATTTTATCTCTCCTATTAAATTATAGTTCCTCCAAGGTTTAATCAAACAGCTCAACATTTCACCTCAAACGCTCCTTCAGTATCAGGTGAGTGTTTTATATGATGTGATGTGGGCCAATGTGGCCTTAAACACGGAATTATGGGGCCCTCGTGTCCTAGAGGTTAAGGTGCTGGCCTCTCATTCAAAGGTTCCGGGTTCGAATCTGGGTAGCGACCGAAAATTTTACTTCTCTAAAATTGTCTCCTTTCACCTCCTTTCCTTCTCATCATCTGTCAGATTACTCACCGACTTTCTATGCTACTTTTTATAACATCCGCATACCGTACAGTACACCACACTTTGTGAGCACGCCTGGACAGGTGCCAGATTATTTTGTCCGCAAGCGAGTCCAGCTCCTATGCACAAACATCGCCACTTTCCAGGAAAACTAGTTCAAAACAAACTCGCTCGTATCCTGCTCTACTTCATGAAACAAATAAAAGGATTCTTGAGGTGATAAATCGGTGAAAACAACAACACTCCTCCCTCCCCACTTCCCCTCGTTCTCCTTACTCCCTGTATTTTTTACACGCGCACACACACGCACGCACACTCGCCAAACCATTGTCCTTATCTCTTTCTCAT